AAAAAAAAAAAAAAAAAAAAAAAAAAAAGACTACTGCTATAAACATTCATCTACAAACTTTAGAGTACACACATACTTTCATTTATTTTGGGTGTATAAGTTAAGAGTGGAATTGATGGGCCACGTGGTAATTTGATGTTTAACCTTTTCAGGAATTGCTAGATTATTTTCCCAAGGCTGTACAATTTTGATATTCTCATCTGCAGTAAGTTACAATTTCTTCATCTCCTCACCATGACTTATTATTATATGACTTTTGTACTCAAAGGTTATTTTTAGTACTGGGGATCGAACTCAGAACCTTGTGCTTGTGAGGCAGGCAGCGACACCACTGAGCTAAATACACAGCTATTATATGATTAGCTTGGAATATAGTCATTTTAGTGGGTATGAAGTAGTATCTCACTTTATTGGTTTTGATTTTCATTCTCCTAATGATGTTGACTTTTCAAACTTGTTGGCCATTTGATCTGTACTCATTTTTTAATGTTTTCCATCTCGCTAATTCATAGCCTACCTGAATATAAATTCTAGCAATACAAAAACACTTAAGCCCACTAAAATAAAACATTTAAGTATTTAATAAGTTACATATACATTTTTGAATAACTATTCATGGAAAAATATATGTATAAGCCTCTATACCAGATGCCATGTAATTTAAAAAGTATCTCATTGTTCTTTTCCTCAATAACCTTATAATTCAGTATTTTTACAAAATACAAACAGTTGTTCTTAAAGGTTTTTTTTTTTTTTTTGGTACTGGGGATCAAACTTGGGCCCTTGCACCTGCAAGGCAGGTGGTAGAACCACTGAGCCAAATCCCTGGCCCTGTTCTTAAGTTTTTACTCAAATGTTAGAAGTCATTTATTATTATTTTCCGCTTACTTCTATTGGTATCTATTTTGGATTTCAAGTAACTCACAGCCAGGGGATGAAACTCTATTTAAATCAGTGGGTATAATGCCGGGCATGGAGGCCCATGCCTATAATCCCTAGCACTTGGGAGGCTGAGGCAGGAGGATCACTGTGAGTTCGAGATCAGCCTGGGCTACACAGTGAGCTCCAGGTCAGTCTCAACTACATAGTGAGACCCTGTCTCAAGAAACAAAACAAAACAAAACATCAATGTATATAGTATTAAACTATATAAAGGACAAGAAATTTAAATAGCACCAAAAGGTTATTCTTCCTCTTTGCAAGTGACTTGTAGCATAAGTTCTTTTTAACTAAAAAACTGAATATTACACAAATAAATCTAAATGCCTAGAAAGCATTTGCTAGTGTAACAAATTTAAATATACTAACCTAAAAAAGATTTTTTGTGGTATATAGTTCTAGACAGATATTGAGGAGAAATTATTTTTGTTTCAGAGATATATCTATTTACATATTTATAAAACTACTGAAGGAATCAGAAGAGGGAAAACATATTCACCTCTCTAACTTTAGCATAAGCTAAAGCTCCAGTTATTGGGAATGATGGCTTATGGAAAGATGCTTTAAAAATCTTTCCACAGTGCATATATACAGTAGTAAATTTTCAAGGGTGTTGTGGATTGTTTCTTTCACTATTTCAGAAATTTAAAAAAGCTGAAAGACCTAGGAAATCAAGTCACTTAACTTTATGAGTAAAATATGCACACAGATAATTTAAACTATTAAATTAAAACTTAATCTCATCAGCCTAATATTAAGTATTTTCCATACCTACTAGTTTATATCTCTATTTTCATGCATTAAATTCCCACATAGACACTAAGATGTTTTTCTATTAATGGTTAACTGATTTGTGTGTGCCTTTGATTGGCACTTCTTCAACATTACAGCACACTAAATCAATCAAGACAATTCATCGTGACACAAAACATGCTCTCACAGCCTCTATGTAATTAACATATTTAACCAACCTTCATATATTGGTTTTAAATTTGTTAAACCATCAAAATTACATCAGTAAAAATATAACCACACGAACCAAGATCCTAACTGTAACTTCTTTCCTTTAAAGCACCACATGACATAAGAGAAGTAACTCAAGGTCATCTGTAAAAGTTAAAAAAAAAACCTGCCTTGATCTGGGTTAGTTCAGTGGTACAGTGCTTGTCTACCATGCATGAGGATCTGGGTTTTGTTCCCAGCACTACCAAAACCAAACAAATACAAAAACAAAAACAACAACAATAAAAACAGAAACTAAAGAACTTTGGCTATATATATATATACTTAAATTTCTTCAAATACAAATCCTTAGGAAAATCTATGAAATGATAAATGAATGGAAACATGTATTTAATCTCTTCTACAATATCACGATCTCTTTTGGTGAGGAGAATGCGGTTTTCAAGTATGTTGGAGAAATTATATAATTTACCTTAAAACTAAGGCCAGATCAGGCTGGGAATGTGGTTCAGCAGCACAATGCCTGCCTGGCAAATTTGAGTTCCTGAGTTCAACTCCCGGAACGAAAAACAAAAAACAAAAAAACTAAGGCCAAACCAGATGCTTTTCAACATCCTTTCAACAACAGAATTCTGCATTTATGATGACCTGCTTATTCAGATAGCACGTACAATTACATGCGATTTCCTGAAAAAAAAAATGTGAAAATATTCTTTAGTTTATTTCTTTTACCTGAGGTGGTGCTTTTTTCAGTAACACAAGAAGAGCCTGTAATACCAGATTAGAAAATCGGGGGCCAATGGGGACATAATCTGGAAGAGAAACATTGTGATTAGGGATTCAATACACATATGCACATATCCAAACATTCAGATGTCTACAGTAAGAGTAAATAACAGTCATCCTAAATAAGAGTCAGGTCAATTATCTAAAATAAAAATATATCCAATTACCTAAATGCTTAAAACATTATATTAGAATACTTATCTGAAAAAAAAATACTTATCTATAAATATTTTGAAAAAGCAAAATAACACTGGGCGTGGTGGTACACGCCTGTAATCCCAGCACTTGGGAGGCTGAGGCAGGAGGATCACTGTGAGTTAAAGACCAGCCTGAGCTACATAGTGAGTTCCAGGTCAGTCTCAACTACATAGTGAGACCCTGTCTCAAAAATCCAAAAAAAAAAAAAAAAAAAGCTATTAAATAACCATTTTGAGTTCATCCTGACAACTTAGTTTTCAGAGATGATTTTTTAAAAAGAGGAAAATACCCAGGTGTATTCACCAAGCATTTCTAAGAAATTACTGCAAACCACAGCAGTACAGTACATTGATAATAAAAATGATTATTTGTGGACATGGTGGTGCACAAGGAATTCCCAGTACCAAGGCTGAAGCAAGGAGGTTTAAAAGTTTGAGCTTGGCCAGGGCAACTTAGTGACTTAGTAAAATGCTGCCTCAAAATAAAAAAGGACTGGGGAGGTAGCTCACTGAGAAGTCCCCAAGTCCAATCCCCAGTACTGGGTGGGACAGAGGGGATAAGAAATTTTAATATAACTAAAATAATGGTAGAGCCACTAAGACTGGCCCTCAGATGGTGAAGGGAGCTTTCTTCCTATTATGTTTCTACTAATATTTATGATTCAGCATAATGCCACTCCTTAGCTTTCTCAGTATATTGCACAAGAACCCAGCTTTGTGCTTAGAGCTACTTGCAGGAATGAGCTTCTAAAGTCAAAAGTAATCCCTCTGTTTTCTGAGTATCCAGAACACATACACATTCTACTTTGCATTAGTTTTTGCCAATACTGTATATGTTACAACAGACAGGCAGACAGGCAGCATCTTATTTATTTTTTCTGTGTTAAGAATTCTAGCACAGTAGTAAGGATTCAGCAAATGCTAAGTGAATAAATGAACAAGTACAGAAAATAACTATTCATACAAGTGAAAATATACTCAGAGGGCACACATTCCTGACATAGTAGTGTTGCTATGACCACACATCTCAATTGTGTTTAGATAAAGGAATTTACACAGAGCTATAAGTATGTGCCTAAAAGCTTTTAAAGAAATAATCCTATAAACTGGGCCAAGAATGAATCAAACATAGCACTCTAGAAACCTAGGTCATTAGATAAAACCATCAATTTAAGGAGACCTCACAGATATACCTGCTTTGCTTTATAACAAACATTGCCAAATTTCACAAAATAAATAATAGAGGACTAATGAAGTCTAAAAATCTGGAGAAAATATGATAAGAATAGTTAACTTAAAATCATTACTACATTACTATAAGCAACCTTAAAAAGATTAATCAGGTGTTGGATAGTATCCTCAGACATTTATTAAGTCACCAGGTGGGTTTCTATTTCAGTGGAGTTTACTATCTCATCATGATTCATTATTATGATTTATTATAGACTGATTTAATTTTACAGTGAATAAAACGTAAGAATAATAAGAATTGTCTATCTGTTATTTACCTCTACTTTAGTGAATTGAGTGCAGGAATTAAGTCTTACTCACTTTTGTGTTAGGGTTCTTTTTTTTGTACCAGGGATCGAACTTGGGACCTTGCGCTTGTGAGGTAGGCAGCGGAACCACTGAGCTAAATCCCCAGCCCTCATCTTTGTATTCTGCTGGACTGCACTTCAACATAGGAAAAGTGAAACAAATATTTAAAAAAATTACTCTAAAGTAGTCAACTTTCAGAATGTTTTCAACATTTACTATCTCATTTCTGTCTTCAAAATTAGTCGGTGGAAGGCTGGGGATTTAGCTCAGTGGTGCTGCTGCCTGCCTTGCAAGCTCAAGGTCCCAGGTTTGATCCCCGGTACCACCAAAAAACAAACAAACAAAAAACACCTCTGGGGATAAGCAAAAGAGAGATTATAATCTTTGATAAAAGAGTAGAAACTGAGGTACAGATAGCTTACAACTTCTGTCCTGAAAGCTTTAGTGAATCTATAGGGTTTCAAGCCAATCCTAAACCCTCTCTCATTCTGTCTAAGTTCACAAGTGGACCTCTGAGATATAGGCAACTCAGAAGCACTGAAAAGCAAATATATCTACCAACAGAAATTACTAATCACTTATTATGGACAGGATACGCTGTAGAAGACAGAAAATCATATAAGACATGGGTCCTTAAAAGAAGTCAGTTTAAGGGCCAGGAATTTAGCTCAGTGGTGCCACCTCACAAGCACAAAGTCCTGTGTTTTATCCCAGATACCAAATTAAAAAGTTAGTTTATAATGCAATTAAAATCATAAAACATCTTACCATGAATACTATTGTTGATATCAGATATGAGATAATTTATATTTCCTTGTAAGATAAAGAACAGGGTTTCCACTGCTCTGCAGTTTATAAATATCATTATTTGTCTCTTGTAATATTTGACTTCATTGGTAATGTGGCAGGGAGTACAATGGCTACAGTTATGACTCACCAAGTAATCTCTCAATGTCATCCACAACCACACAACTGAGTTGAGATTTGTATGCATCATCAAAAATCTGGAAGAAACCAAAATAATTTATTATCTCACTACCTTCCACAATTATGAAAATTTCCAAGAACATTAAATTTAGTTAACCTCTTGAGCAATATCTAAACAAAGCACAGTAAAATTTCAGAGTACAATAAATTAAATTTAATAGGTTATAGGGTTTTAGACTTGAAAAGTGCTTACAAGGAAACTGAGGCCCCAAGCAGTCTTGTCCAAGGTAACATAAATGGATTACAGCTGAGTAGAGAGCAGGTTAAGGCTATTTTCAGCAGTAAGAGCTACAGGTATGATACCTACACATGTTGTGAAACAGCTGATCATTAATCAACTAGAAATCTCATCATGTTTATCAAACTGGTCTCTCATATTTATGTTAGGAGCATGACTTCAGAATTACAACTCAAGTGCTAGATGGAGACAGAAGGAATATGTAGAGTAACTTGAATGTACCTGTAAGAATCGTGGTCCTCGTAGGCAGGAATAACAATTAAAGACCAGAATCCTATCATCTCAGATAAGACAATAATGGTAGAGTTTATGAAAGAAGGAGCCAGGCACACAGCATATACCTGTGGTCCCAGCTACTCAGGAAGCTGAGACAGGAGGATTATTTGAACCCAGGAGTTCAACACCAGCCTGAATAACTTGATGAGACCATACCACAAGTTAGGAATAAAGCAGGTAGATGCATGTGTAAAACCTGATCCAAAGATAAAACCCAAAGATAAGACAGACAAAGAAATGCAAATTAAAACAAGCAGTGAAGAAAGCTGCTGTATCATGGCATAGATGCCAATGTGAAACCAGACAAAATTAGCTTATATATGAATATAAGTGCCAATGGCTTTGAGACCAGCCCTTCTGTAAATGATGGCGGTTTCTATTCCAGAAACTATACTCTATGAGTGAAGTTCAGGGTATTCCATTGGTGTCATGAGTACAAATTAATTTCTGCATCCAGCCTAATCTTTCCAACTGATAAATAACTACAGAGCACCAAGACAGTACCTCCTGCCTTGGTTCCCACCCACATGTTGCTTGGGGTGGCATAATATTCTTTAGTGAATATATTTTAATCATAGAAACTTTAGAATTAGGTACACAAAATAAATCAAACCAATAATATTAAAAAAATCTATGTATACTCAGTCTCTAAAGTATTTGTAACAATTAAGAAAAGTTACCGTAATAGATCCTCATTGTCACCATCCTCATTCAGTTCTTCAGATGTAAATCTTTCCTGGCATAACAATAATTTCTGCCTCCAGATATTTAATCAGATCAAACCTTTCTAATGGAAATACTTTCCTTTGTTCCATTTCCTTTATCCCTCAGTCATTGTCCCACACTTCATCAGAATTTCATCTAACCTTTTCTCCTTAGCTACCTATATCCACAGCAGATTGTGAATTGGATAAAAACGTCACTCTGCTTTATCTTTAGTGCCCTGCACAGAACAGTATTCATTAACGATGTTTGCTTAACAGATTCAATAGCTGAAATAATACCAGTTCTAACTCCATCTGGCCCTAAGTCACTTGTCCCACTTCTTCCTTGTATATTGTGTATATTTTGTGGATTCACAGTATTTTTTCCTATATAATCATGGATTGTAAGCACTTAGAAAGAAAGTACTGTCTTAATTATATCTGTATCCTTGTGTCAATATAATGACTTACCAGAAAATAACAACTATTTACTAAAAAAATCAATTTGTGCATTTCAAATTCAAATAGAAGTATCAAGTAGTAATTGTAAATGTTTGATTGAATCTAGGGTATGAAAATCACTCACAAGACAGTGACTGCTAAAAGGATCACAGGGGATGAGATATTAAAGGACAAATGGTGAAGGAGAAGAATGTAGGACTAAGGACTCACACAATAAGGAGCGCTATATGCATTCATTCAAATATATTTGAATTACTATTATGTGTCAAGCATTAAGGAAGGCAATGGACAGAATAATAAATACAAATACAAATACCTTTATAAAAGTTAATAGTGTGAATAGAAATACATCATTTTCTGAAAGAAGATTTAAGAGTTACTGAATGATTTGCTACATTCCTTTTCCTGTCTTGTCTCTCACGGAATCACATGTGAGATGGAGCCTCTATTATCTTAAATCTCTGAGAAACCGCAATGATAGAGATCACCTTCTGAGCCATGATGGATGTACAGTACGAGCAAGAAATAAACTTGTGTTAAACCACTGAGATTTTAGGGTTGTTGTTCATTACTGCAGTGTAATTCATTCTATCCCAGACTCATAAAGGAACTTAGGGAGTTAAGGATGGTCTCCTAAACTTAGGAAATAATATCTAAATTGAGATCTGCAGAGTGAATAGGAGCTGACTAGTGGAAAGTGGGGGAAAGAGGTATTCTAGGAGATCAGGAAATGCAGGAATGCTGCAGGAATGGATATATAGTCAACAGAATGAAGACTATAGGCCTATTGGCTAAGATCAAATGTAGAATTAAAATGAAGAGTGTTGATGCAATATACAGGGAAACGGTGGGTGAAAGATGAAACAGAATAGGTGATGAGTCTGGACACAGAGGGGTTTACAAACTTCCTATGAGTTGTAATTTTATTGTTAAGGCAATAAAAAGCCACTACAGTGTTTCAAGCATGGACTGAGATGTAAGCCTTATGATTAAATTTAGAAACATTTTTCTGGCTAATGTACAGAAAAGCGTTAGAGGGGAGTAATAAATTGAGACCATGGAATTCTAGGAGAGAAATGAGGGTGGCCTAGAAGTGGGCATGTAAGTGGACAGGTTCTAAAAATATTTTAGGAGGTAGAATTGGAAGGATTTGGCAAATGAATGAGTGCAGTGATGAAAAAGAAATACATATCAAAGATACTTCCTTATTTGGCAAGTGAAATGAAAACATAAAGAACAGTGGAAAAACTGAGTGGAGAATAAGTATCAGGAGTACATTTGAAGAACAGAAAAAGAACAGCCCTTAGCTATCCCCCCACCCAACCCCAAGGAAGAGAAGATGAGAATAGTATATTTCCATCTCTTAATATACAATGCTGGCTCCTTTTGGCTTTGAGTTGGTATATCCAAGACACTGGAAGAATCTAGAAGCAGTTCCACACAGGTTCTTTGCTTTTTTTTTGTTACCAGGGATCAAACTCTGGACCTTGTGCTTGTGAGGTAGGTGGCAGCACCACTGAGCTAAATCCCTAGCCCACTTTGCTATTTTTGAAGACTAGATCAATATAGCAGCCAATGTGATTTCTTATAAACTCAGATAATTTCATAAAATTGTTAAAAATAATGCTTTGCTTTTCAAAACATTTTTCAGAATTCTACTAAAATCTCTGAGGCAAAAATATACTTCTGTTTGTTGGGCTGTGAGATCATGGGTGAGAACTACGGAGACCTGGGACCTGGCTGATTGCAAGACAGTAGTTCTACATTTTCTGTGAAACAGCCCTTCTTTCTCAAAACAATGTGTAGTTTACAAGCAAGTCTGACACCTATTGAGAAGAGACTCAGAAGTGACCTCCTCAGGACATTCGTGGGGTCTAAGATAATGATAAACTGCTACATGGTACGCAGTCTCACCAACTTCTCAGATATTGTAATCCACAAAACATTACTTCCCAGTTGACTGCATGCTACTTATAAGATTTTAGAAGAAAAATATGTATAACAGTCATTTAACATAGTGGGGTTTTGTTGCCGCTTTGTTTGGTTGCTGCTTTGTTTTGTTGTTGGTTTTTACAAACAGCTCTCAGTGTATTAATTACTATCACAGAGAGACAAACTTGTAGCTAACTCTTAACAATGTACTAACCATGACAAAGCCTGTGCAATGCCAGTTGTAACCTGACTAGTTTCAATTGATTAGTCAACTGAAACTCCTCTGGGTAGCTACTCTGCTCTAATTTAAATACGTGCATACACATCTTCCACTTCTTTCACAGTCTCTTCCTTATCTGATCAGTAGTGTAATATGAGGTCATCTTTCTTCCCCTGGGTCCAAGATTTCTGTTTAGTCTCCTCAAAAACTCTTACCTTCCTGGCTGCAGTCTCTAGCAGAATGTTAAAAAGAGACTCAGATTTGATAGGCAAGAATATGAGACAAGCTGCTAAAGTCTAGTGAGATATTTACATACAGAGCTGGGAAGTTCTGACACGTTAGGTAGAGAAACCCAAAAAGCAGGAGGTACTAGAAGAAAAGATGCAGAAAAAGTAAAATCACACAAACTGTCCTAATCAGAATACATAGTTTGCTATCACTAATAGTACAGACCAGACACACAGTGCCTGCTTCAGAAAAATGATGCCATAACATAGAGGCAGCTAGGTTGGCTGAAGCTGGAGATATTTATCTGAGTCTTTAGAAAAATCAATCTAAAGAATATATGATCATCTTAGTTTTATTTGGGAATTTCCTGAAGAGCAGGTGATGTTACTGGCATATATGAAAGGTCTTGGAGCCAGTGAAAAGTCAGAAAAATAAAAGTAAAGTAATAAAGAAGAAAACATGGCATAGAGGTCAGCATGGAAATGCTGAGGTCTACTGGAAAGGATGAAAACCACCTCTAAAAAACACAGAATCCTAGCTGTGCACATAGTAAGATTGTCAGCATTAAATTCTAGGGTACTACCTCTTTGGCCTGCAAAGACAGAGTGTCCAACATAGATTTAAGTGTCATAAAAGACAACCCAGAACTCAAGGCAAGAGTACACTGAACACATTCTAAGCACTGAGGAACAGGAGAGATGGACTCTTGCCATGTAGGATTTGAAATCAGGTCTGCATATGGTACAGGACACTGCAAGTACTTCAAACACAGCTTACTCCTGGAACCTCAGACAAGCTAGATCCACCTGTGAGCTGGGGTGGGGCAACAGCTGCAGGCTCTGAAGTTACATGAATGCAAATGCAAGCACGGCAGCATTAACTTCATGTTAATCCTAGCCTTTCAGAACCACAAACCAAGCAAAGTGTGTTCTAAGTAGACTGTCCTCCATTTTCTGT